TCAAGAAGAAGCACATTAAGGTCCTGGAGTGGCCTAGCCAGTCTCCAGACCTTAATCCCATAGAAAAATCTGTGGAGGGAGCTGAAGTTTCGAGTTGCCAAACGTCAGCCTCGAAACCTTAATGACTTGGAGAAGATCTGCAAAGAGGAGTGGGACAAAATCACTCCTGAGTTGTGTGCAAGCCTGGTGGCCAACTACAAGAAACGTCTGACCTCTGTGATTGCCAACAAGGGTTTTGCCACCAAGTACTAAGTCTTGTTTTGCAGAGGGGTCAAATACTTATTTCCCTAATTAAAATGCAAATCAATTTATAACATTTTTGACATCCGTTTTTCTGGATTTTGTTGTTATTCTGTCTCTCACTGTTCAAATAAACCTGCCATTAAAATTATAGACTGATCATTTCTTTGTCAGTGGGCAAACGTACAAAATCAGCGACCCTCACTAACCTAACAACTCTTTACATTTTACCAGGTAAGGCCCACTGAGTTATATATATTTCAGGAGTGACCTGGCCACAAATGATAGCTCTACGAAGTGACTTATCACTTGGAAATGTATAGCGGCCAAATACTCTAAACGCTTGTTGATTCTAAATGTGGAGGGGAAAACGCGACCACGGGGAGAGAGACACGCAAACTCCAAATATACAGGGGTCAGGGCCGGGATCGAACCCACGACCTCCTGTATACCATGCGAGGTCGTTAACATCTCTCCACCGGGGCACCCCATAGCACGTGTACCTGTATCCATGTGGGACGCGTGTGTGTGTGTGTGCATGGGGAGTGGGTGTTGTTGTATATGTGGTGTGTGAAAATTTGATGAAAGTAATGAAAATTAAATGAAATTTAAAAGCTGCATAAGTTATCCTAAATTATGTTAATTTGGGTAATTATGTGTATAAATTATGCTAATTCGAGAGATAATTGTATCAAATTCTACGAGTGGGTGTGGTTATGTTAATGACAGCCTTTATGATATTCAGGCCCCGCCTCATTGACGAGGGTCGGTTATCAATCGGAATAATGCAATTAATCGTATGCAGTTATGCTAGTGTCAACTCGGCTTCGTTGTCTAACGTCGTATTATCGATCAGTATAATACAATTATTCTCGCTTTTACATTTATTGAGTATGTATTAGTGTTTATGTAAGGTCTCCAAGTTCAGATCTCAATTAGAGTGTTTTAATGTAAGGTCCCCAAGTTCATATCTCAGTTAGAGTGTTTGTGTAAGGTCCCCAAGTTTATATCTCATCGCAGAACCAGTTCTTATGCATAAATCATAGGAAAGAATCACACCACAACTTCTGCATTAATCAATTTATTTTCTTATTAAACCTTGACTCTAATATAGTATGTGACTTTCAATCTCGGAACTTTTAACACTGTATCAATCCAGTATCATCAACGACTGGGTTGTTTCACTTTGACAACAGCACCTGTGGTTAATTCCGCCGTGTAACGCGAGCTCTGTTGGTGAGAGAGAGAGTCGTTAAAACATGCGTATGCTAATCTAAATAAAAACCTTAACTTTATAATAAATTATTATACTATAATTATTCGCGCAGTACCGCACTCATTATTGATCTTATGCAACCCTTATCACGTTGTTCGCACATTGGGTCACGGAACAGCTGAGTATTCTATAGAGGACACGAGTACGTGCGGCGATCAGTAATTAAAGATACTTAAAGATTATACGGCGATATTCATACGAAAAGACAATCAAAAACAGTTATTATTCTCAAAGGCACAAATCTCAATAGATCCATCGGCAAGATTATATGAGTACAGAAATGATTTGGAGTGAGGGCATGCGATGGTGTCCGCGCTTTCGCCGAAGATCTTTGTCTTGTACCAAGTTTTAATTAATTGTGGACCAGATCGCCTGATAAGGATCTGGTTGGACACACCATTCCCCCACGTGAGCGTAGCTCCACGGAAGAAGGTGTCAAGGATTAATTCGTATTGATGGATCTGTTGGTAATTTATGCGATTAGAAGTACAGCCCAAAACAAAAGGATTAAGAAGGAAGAAATAGGAATAGGTTTTACCCTTTTAACTGGCACAAAAAAATAATAAAACCTATTCCTATATCTTGTTACTGGCAAAGGAGGTCTCATAAAGGAAGAAATATTATGAATATACTTATAAACGACGGACTGTTATCACACGATCTGTAGTGATGCTTCCACGGCCAGATGGTTCACGTTTGAGATTGTCTTTGTCCCTGATATAAATTGTGTTGAATAGTCAATGTTCGGAGTTGGTTCTTTAGGTCAAGCAGACGCCTGATTTGTCGTGTGGTGGGGGTAGTGCGCATCATACGTATCGGTCGATTCTTCTCTCGGCTCGGCTGAGCCGAGCTGATGAGCTGACACGCTGTTGTAGTTGCAATGACCCGTCGGTAGATGGCGCACGCAGCTCGCTGGTAGCGTGCGGTGGTGTCGCTGGCTGCTGACACCGTTCGTTGTAATGCTACTTTTGATGATGCCGACTCGCACCACGTAGCCTCGTCGCTAAACAGCGACCCTCGCCACTCCGGCGAGCGGCAGAGACCTCCTCCGCTTTGGCAGAGGCCGATCCCACGCAGGGATGAGCCGAGCTGGCAAGCTCAGCTGAGCTGATGAGCCGATGAGCTGAGCCGAGCTGGTAAACTCAGCTGATGAGTTCTGTCGCGAAGTGGTGTGCCATGGTACGCAGTGGCGCGCACCGATGAGCTCCCCCGATGAGCTGAGTTGAGCTGGCAAGTGGGTCTTGCCCGCTTGCTGACAAGCTGAAGAGCCGAGCTGAGCTGAGCTCAGCCGAGCTAAACCGAGCTCCGATGAGCCGGCAGAACTCAGCTGAGTTCCGGACGAACTGAGTTGAGGTGATGAGCTCCTTGCTGGCGAGCTGAGGAGCTGAGGAGCTCCGTTGAGGAGCTTTGTTTATGAGTTCCCCCGAACTGAGTTTTCAATGCTGTAGCGTCCTCTTTTATGCCAAAATCCTTCCTCTTGACTCCTCCCCACAAGGTGGGGCTTCTTTTGATTTAGCGGTGTGTCGTGGTCTGGAGCACGTGTCCGTATGTGCATCCGTATGTGTGTCCTTGTGTATGTGTGTCCTTGTGTGCGTCATTTACGGCATTGTTCTATTGATTCCTCTTTCCATAGACCACCAAAAAAACAACAGGTGTTACAAATCGTCTCAAGGCGTCTTTGTCTGGGTTGTACAATCTAGAGGGAGGCGATATTCTCTCCGCTTCGAGCCCCGCGTCCATATGTCACCTTCCCCGACGCAGAAAGAAATGGTTAAGTTTTATTAATTCATCACAGTTATTCCATCATAGTCCTACATCGTGGCGCTTGACTTTAGCTCAAGGGAAGGTGCTCTCTTAAGCGTATGTATACTCTCATCATGTACGGCAGAGAGACAAAGGCGGCTGGGAGACCCTCTTTTTCCTTGGCCCTCGGTTTAACATCGCTCAAGTATCTGCAAGGCCATGCCAGCGGGACATAGCTCATAGCGAATAGCGTTAACATTAACGCTGTATGAAATTATACATGGTTCCTTTAATTGAAACTCCCTGTCCCACTCTCTCGCTGTTTCTCTGTCTCTGCTGCACTCTCGGTCCACCACTCTCTCGCTGTCTGTCTCAGTCTCTGCCCTACACTCTCTGCCCCATTATCGTGCAACTGCTAGCTTTAGCACAGACACCCGATGGGGTCTCTCCCGCCCTCGCTTCAGGGCTGCGCCTTTATCCGGTCTAGACCGCCATGCGTCTCAAGGCTCCTCATTAATTTCCGTCATTCCATGTATAAGCTTATCATTTGTTATCATTTATTCTCAATATACTCAGTCAGGAGGTATGCCTCTGAAGGTCGGAGCTCGTGCTCCGTGGTGTCAGAGGCAGGGCAGCAATTATTTATTGTGCTGGCTGTGGGAAGACGAGGCGTCTGTCTTCTTTGGCGTGAGGCCACCTTCACATGGGCACCCGCAGGCCCTTTCCGTCCTTGCCTCCGGCCTCTCTTGCGTTTTTTTCCTCTCTAACCGTAAATGAACCCTGCATTATTATTTTCTTATGTCCGTAGGTTAGATAATTCGTTTTGACTTAGGAAAAATTCTGATTGTCATATGCTTCTGTCAGGTTATGTAGAACTACTAAACATTCAGTGTTGGATTTTTAAATGGGCAATGATTCATTGATGTAGCTCGTAGACTGGTTTACAATTGGAGCGAGCGTAAGGATCGATAATTTAGCCTACTCCTGCTGTTGAATTTTGAACTTTAACGTTACTTTAAAGCAATGCGGTGTAACTGGTTGATCTTTTTGACTTACCTATGTCTGTGGCTACTGTGAACTCTCCGCGACCCTAGGCTCCGCTTACATCAACCTTGCAGCTTGCTCTCAGCTGTTTTTTTCAAAGCGGCCCATGCTGATGTTGGGGAGGTTGTCCTTGGAGCCTATTATTTATTCAATTTATTTATTTAATTATAAGGTGGATAGTGTTAGTATCAACGCTCTGTGTGATCATGCCTTGCAATTTCCCCAACCAAATTATTGCCAAGGTCTGCTGCTGAGTTCGCTAGCACGCTCTTATCTCCGCATCTTTTTGGCTTACGTGTTGTTTTTCAGTTTACTATGCTCTTATGTGTTTTATTCATTTAAAACAATATAGGTATATCGGTAAATATTTTATGGATATTAAATGATGGAAAAAGAGCAGTATACAACAGTGTAGTGGTTTACGTGCTGTGCTGCGAACCCGGCCACTCGAGTTCAATTCCCGCTCAGGCCTACACCAGTGACGATTATCTGAACTGGTCCTGGGCCTCCCCTAGGTCGATCCAGCCTCAAATGAGTACCTGGTGCGATGTGAGGCAAAGGCGGCCAGGCGTGGTGCTGGCCACCCACCCCCTCGAGTGCCGTGCCGGCCTCATAGATGCCCAATAGATGCCCAACAGTCCATGACAGGCTATACGGGGGATCTTTGTCTTATCGTCTCCCCTCCGTGAGCGTGCAGTGATCCGCCGCGGGGCCTGCCGCTGCCAGCGCGCACCCAGGGCCGTGTTCCCCAACGAGCTGCGAATGGTCGAGCGCAGACGCCTCGCGCCGCACTGCGACCTCGAGGTCATGTGAGTGAGCAGCACGCACGCGCGCACGCACGTGTACACACAGACAAAGGTGCCCCGTATAGCCTCCTTCACAGACTGTTGGGGCGGGCGGCGGGCGGCGGGCGAGTTGCTGTCTTCGAGTAGCAAACCTACGAATTCCAGAACGGCACACAATTGGCACGGTTGACTGCGAACGGTGTGAAAGAAGTTCAACGTGCAAACAAACATACATAGTGTAGCCAGAACCACGCCTCCCGCCCGACCGCCTTTGTATCCCGAGTGCTGATGTCTTTTTTCACAAATGAGGGTACTCATTTAAGGCTGAGTCGACCTATGGGGAGGCACAGGGCCGGTTCAACTATTCGCTGTCGATCTTATTGGTCAGGAGCGGAAATTGAACTCTCGTGACCGGGTTTCAAAGCGCAGCGCGCTAACCACGGCACCACCGCTCCCCACACGTGCAAAGACAAATACTTTTGGGGCAAGTGCTGTTTGCAAACGCCTATGAGGGCTGGCACTGCACACGAAACGGTTTGTAGCTAGCACCACACCAGGCCGCCTTTGTCTCCCTCATAGCGATGTTCACACAGCGCACCAGATACTCATTCGAGGCTGAGGCCCAGGACTATTTCAGATATCATCACTGGTGTTGGCCGTGAGCGGGAATCAAACTCGGACCGCCGGGTTCATATACGCGGCATGCTAGCCGCTGCACCACCGCTCCCCCGTGCACTGCCTCCACAATGCACTGCATCGTCCTCATCTCTCCTCTCGTTAGCTCGGCCTGCAGTCTTATCCCCTCCGTTCCCTGCCTCCTCCATCACCCCTCTCTCTCCTCTCTCTCTCCCCTCTCTTTTTTTTACAATCAGAGGAAACAAGAAGATGCTCGGTGTAGTCGGCACTTTGCTTCATTCATCATTTCGGTTTTTTTTTAATGCTTTGCTTTATGGTAACCCTTGTTAAATGAAAGATTTCACAAACTATTTCACGTTCTTACCCCTTCCCTCTCTACTTACCCCTTCCCTCTCTCTCTACCCCCTCTCTGCCCCCCCCTCTCTCTACCCCCCCCCTCTCTACCCCCTCCCTCCCTACTCCATGTCGCTTTCGCTCTCTCTCGCTCACTCTCTCGCTCTCTTTTTTGTGAGCGTCACTCCACTACCCTCTGTTGTTGCTGGAGGGCGACTACCTGCATGCCGAAACAGCTTTTGTTTGGCCGGATTGAGGGGGCTAAGCGGGCGCGGCACGGGCTAGAGAAGAGATGGAGTGATGTGGTACAGGAGGACGTGGAGCTGAGTGGACTTGCCGATGATTGGTACCAGCGGTGTCAAGATCGGCCTCTGTGGAGGAGGCTCGTGAAGGATGCTACTGGGCAGTTGGAGGCAGTCGCCCTCCAACAACAACGGAGGACGGAGGAGCGACGCTCAGAACAACGAGCGGAGCGCCGGGTGGCTAAAGCACAGCAGGTTGGCACAGTAGGGGGCACAGGTGGTGCATCAGCCAGTCATCTCAGTCAGTCGACCCGTGGCACCTGGGTCTGCCCCGTGACCTCCTGCCGGCGGGCGTTCAACACTTCACGTGGCCTCAGGGTGCACATAGCCTGGCACAAGCGTCGTGGTGACGTCACCGCCACTTAGTGGCGAATGACGGTTGTTGTTGAGTGTGTGTGTCTGTGTGTGTCTATGTGTGTGTGTGTCTGTGTGTGTGTGTCTATGTGTAGTGGGGAGCGATAGTGTAGCGGTTAGCGCGCTGCGCTATGATCCTGGCGACCCGGGTTCGATTCCTGCTCACGGCCAACACCAGTGACGATTATCTGAACCGGTCCCGGGCCTCCCCTAGGTCGACTCAGCCTCAAATGAGTACCTGGTGCGGTGTGTAAACATTGCCACTAGGGTCGACAAAGGCGGTCGGGCGTGGTCCTGGCCACCCACCCCCTCGTGTACCGTTCCGGCCTTCATAGGTGCTCGCTAACAGCACTTGCCCCTACAGTCTGTTAAGGCTATATGGGGGATCTTTGTCTTTTGTGTGTGTGTGTCTGTGTGCTCGCGTGCGTGCCCCCCCCACCTCCCCCCGCCCCCCAGGGTGAGCACCACCGTGGTGTCACGCTTCAAGGGCCACACGTTCTGCCTGCAGCCGGCGCTTGCGTCGACGCGGGCGCTGCTCAAGGCGTGGGGCCGCGTGCAGGAGGAGCGGCGCGCGCGCCACGCCCGCTGGCAGGCGCGATGGAGGCGGTGCGTGATGAACTACACCATGCACCAAACAACGCTATTGCCTTTTCTTTTTTTTTTACCAGGTAAGGCCGGCCCACTGACCGAGCTACCACAAATGAGAGCTCAAACGAAGTGGCTTATATCGCGTGGACACGTATAGCGGCAGCACAAATACTCCAACCGTGTGATGTTGATTCTAAATGTGCAGGGGGGGAGGGGGGGGGGGGGAAACCGGAGGACCTGGCGAAAAATCCACGCGGCCACGGGGAGGGAGGGAGACAAACTCCAAATATACAGCAGCAGCAGGTGTCAGGGTCGGTATCGAACCCACGACCTCCTGCACATCAGGCGAGGTAGTTAACATTTCCTAGCCACCGTGACACCCACGCCCATAACTCCAATGAGATGTAAAGCCGCCACCATCACACGGCCTAACCTATAAACAAATATGGATCACAACATTGGCTATCATTTAGCCAGGCGGACGTGGCGATGCACGTGGGCTCCAGCACTGTGGAGGTGAGGATTAGTGAATCACACACACAAATGTGTGTGATTCACTAAATTCCATACTCTGGCTTGCCAGGAGAAGGCAGTACAACAATCGGTCTAATTGCCATCTGTATGGGGATGGAGTGTTACATCTGTATAGGAGGTTCGGGGAGGATCCTCCGAGACAGTTGCAGGTAGTCGCCCTCCAGCAACAACGGAGGGTGGAGGAGTGACGCTCACAACAATGGGCCGAGTGCCGGGCGGCTAAAGCGCAGCGAGGTGGCACAGTGGGCAGCACAGGTGGTGCATCTGGCAGTCATCTCAGTCAGTCATCTCATGGTCCCTGGGTCTTGTTCCGTGGTCTCCTGCCAGCAGCGAGCCTTCGACACTTCACGTGGCCTCAAGGTGCACCTAGCTTGGCACAAGCGCCGTGGTTGACGTTACCGCTACTTAGTGGCGAACGGAAGTTGCTGTTGAGTGTGAGTGCGTGTGTGTGTGCGTGTAACTCAGGGCGGTAGTGTAGTGGTTAGCGCGCCACTGCGCTACGAACCCGGCGGTCCGAGTTCGATTCCTTCTTAAGGTCAACACCCGTGACGATTATCTGAACTAGACTGGGGCCTCCCCTGGGTCGACTCAGCCTTAAATGAGTACCTTGTGCGGTGTTCAAACCATCGCCACGATGGAGACAAAGGCGGCCGGGCGTGGTGCTGGCCACCCACCCGCTCGTGTGCCGTGCCGTGGATGCTCGCTAACAGCACTTGCTCCTCCAGTCTGTTAAGGCTGCACGGGAGATCTTTGTCTCTGTGTGTGAGTGCGTTTCTGTGTGAATGCACACGCGCCACCGCTCACCCCCACACTGCGCCGTGTCACCACGCGATTTACGAGCAACTGATTTATCTGCTGTGCGTGTGTGGGGAGCGGTGGCGCAACGGTTAGCGCACTGCACTGAAAACCCAGCGACCCCGAGTTCGAGTTCAGCTCAGAGCCAACACCCAGCAACGAATTTGTGAAATGGTCGTGGCCTTCCCTAAGTGGACTCGGGAGACAAAGGTGGCTGGGAAGGGGATGATGCTGGCCACCCACCCCCCATTCGCGCGCCGTGCTAGCCTTAACAGTTGCTTGCCACTTCCTAACCACAAACACTTGCCCCAACAGCCCCGTGTTGGCAACACGGAGTGAGGGGGGGGCGGTGTTTGTCTTTGTTGTCCGCGGAGCGTGATCGGAGTCTGGCCCGGTCCCAGCACTGGTCACCGGGTACACGGTGGCCTCCGGCGATCCCTCGCTGCGGTCTTACGGCCAGCGGGGGAGCGTGCCGATTCGGCGGGCTCCCGTCCACGTGGCAACCTTGACTCGGCCCGCCCGGTGTCAACCCTTGGTGGTTCCCACGGAAATGTCTGTTCTCCCGGGGGAACAGATATTTGCTCCAAACTACCGAACATTTGGGTTGCGTTCAGTGGTTGGCTTCAGGTGTTCGGAGTTGGGTTCAGGTGTTGGGTTCAGGGTTTAGATTGGGTTCAAGGGTTAGGGGTTGGGTTCGGGGGTAGGGTTGGAGTTATCTGGATTTTTCCCCCACTTTTAAGCTGATGGATAGCTACGTACCTTGGTGGGTGGATTGGTGGATTGGTGGGTGGGCATGTGGATGGATGGATGAGCGAGTAGGTGGGTAAGCTACCCGTGCAGCTCAAAGTGGTGTGGGGGAGTTGACAAAATATGAGCCGGGCAGGAATGTCCCAGGGGTCATTTCTTGGGGCCTGCCGAGCTCGCTTACCCCCCAGCGGTGGTGGAAACGCAGCAACTGACGACCCCGGCAGCACCCCCCCCCCCCTCCCCCCATATCGAGCCAGGCCGCGTGAGCGCCTGTGCGGTGGCATGGTGTGGTTGGGCAGGGGGCCATTGCGGTGTGAGAAATGGAGTGGGGGGGGGGGGGCCCGGCGCCTCGAGCTCCACTATGCGGTTGCCCCCTCGCCCGCGGTCACTGCGCTCTGTGTGAACGGCCTCGGTGGGGCCTCCTGGACGGCGGCGTCGAGGTGACCTGCCGCCAATATTTGCTTGCGAGGCTCTTTGAAGGTGGAGGAGGAGGAGAGAGGAGGGAGGAGGGAGGAGGGGGGGAGGGGGGAGGGGGGAGGAGGGAGGAGGGAGGAGGGGGGAGGAGGGAGGAGAGAGGAGGGAGGAGAGAGGAGGGAGGAGAGAGGAGGGAGGAGGGGGGAGGAGGGAGGAGGAGACTCCGGTGTTGGGTTTCTCTGTTGCCACGAGGGGTTAGTGCGGGGTACACGGTGCGATGTGTAAACTACATCAGCAGTAGGGAGAGAAAGGTGGCCCAGCGTGGTGTTGACCACCCAACCCTTGTGTGCCGTGTTTGCCATGGAGCAGTTGTTGAATGGCATGGCCCCTTTCTACCTGCAAAACCGCAGAGAGAGAAAGTATCCATTCGTGAAGTTCTGGTGCATCTCAGGGTGTCCCACTGGAAGCGCCGCTGGCTGTAGTAAGATGGCAAGTAGCTGGCACAGCTCACCTGGTCATAAGCAACACTCCGTGCATCGTATGATAACGACGAGGTGCAGCTGCCAGTTGCTCTGTCGAGCAGCATGGCAGCGAGGCCATCATGACGTTCTCAACCATGTCCACACGTGACATCCAACATGCTCACATATCTCCATTGTCGTGCCGAAGATGCTTCCTCTACTCCGTCTCAAACGGTCTCGTCGCTGTGCAGATGCTGGGCTCTAAAGCGCAGCCTCTCAATGCCCCTTTGGCACCGGTCATCCAACTCAAGGTTGCCGCTCTTCTCACCTAACAAAGCACCGCATGGCTCCTTTAGCTACCTGCACAACCGCATCTCCATCTAATCCTCAGGCAAATTCTGCACACTCCTTTGATCCACTGGAAAGGCGACACTTGCCCACCCCAGGGATTGTTCACCCGAAGCCTTCTCGAGTGCAGCCCCAACAATCGGACATTCGAAACACGCCCAGGGTCTCCCAGTTCAATTGTCTGTGCCAGATGCATCTACTCAGACTTGTCTTCCCTTAAAATCAAAAATGTAAAAAATGTATGTGTTTCTTTAGTTATTATTTATTTTATTTTTCTATTTATTTCGTTCATGCGATTCGTTGCGCATGGTTGCAATTTATTTCTGCACGCAGGGCTGTGATTTAGTTTGCTCAGTCAGCGTTAGCCGCCGAGGTCGTGACGGGTTTCTTTCTTCATTCCCCGTTTGCTGCTCCATGCCTCCTGCACCGCTTGCTTTCTGCTGTAACGTGCACACCGATGCCTCACATAATTGAGGGCGATATTGACACGTAAAATAAAGATCAATTGATTGTTTGATCTTCGTGTGGGTAGATGGGAGCATTGGTGGGTAGGCAGGTGTGTAGTTAGGTGGGTCGGTAGGTAGGCGAATAGGTGGATAGGTAAGTGGATAGGTGGGTGGTTGGTAAGGTATGTTCTATAGTTAGGTAGATAGCTATATATGTGTAGTGGATTCGAATTAGGTGCACACACAACTTCTTGGGAGACAACACTTATTTTATTTAATGAACACAACAGTTAACTCTTACATTACGCATAGGGTAGTGACCACCGACTTACTCTAGCTAACACACACTTCTCTAGAGAGGTACAGCCTCCTGTCTTGGCGGGACTTACACGTCTACCGCTATCCTAGCATCCTCCAGCTGGGACCTACACACGGATCTCTTGCTAACCTAAGGAGGTACAGCCTCCTGTCTTGGTGGGATTTCCTTACACGTCTACCGCTATCCTAGCGTCCTCCGGCTGGGACCTACACACAGATCTCTTGTTAACCTAAGGAGGTACAGCCTCCTGTCTTGGCGGGACTTACACGTCTACCGCTATCCTAGCGTCCTCCGGCTGGGACCTACACACAGATCTCTTGTTAACCTAAGGAGGTACAGCCTCCTGTCTTGGTGGGACTTCCTTACACGTCTACCGCTATCCTAGAGTCCTCCGGCTGGGACCTACACACGGATCTCTTCTTGGCGTCTTCACGATGCATCTTAATTCTTGATACGGGCAGCCTCGAACCTCGTGAGGAGGCTGCTTATATGGGCCTCGGCGTGCCCGGGCCCCGCCCCGGCCACGCCCCCCTTCGAGAACCCTCTCTAAGCCTCCCTTGCTGTCCACGTGCCCCCCGAGGTGCCCCCTAGGCCCCCGGCCCCCACTGGGGTCCAGTCACGTGTCCAGCCGGGGTCACAGAGAGTGCCACGACCTTACACCACCCTCGTGGCCTCCCGAGTCCAGAACCGGCCCTGACGTCATTCCCGCCTCCAGCCGGGATAACGTCATGTGTGTGTGTAGACCCGCGTGGTCGTGACGCTCCCCCGCATAGTGACGTCACACGTGTGCGTGTGTACACAGTAGTGATGCTACCATCGCTACATATGTATGTTGAACTTCTTTGACACCGTATGTAGCCAACCTTGCTAATCGGAGGTTTGGAAAAGGACAACAATCTAAAAGACAAAAAGCAGTTCTAAATTAACGAATAGGTGGGTAGGCAAATGGATAGA